GGGTCAGGTAGTATGCCAGAAACATACGTGGCTTGTACTATGCCATGTTTTAATTTAAAGATATTTGAACAAAGAAACTTGATTGGTTTAAGTTTCTAGAGGTAGCTAGTGCAGTTACTGGTATTGGGACTGCGTGGCAATACTGTAAGTCAAAGGGGGAATGACAGGAAAACAATCCATTAGAAACTCCCAGATCAACTGTATTTCCAGTACCACCCACTCAGCCATCCGTGTGTCTCCAGGCAGGGTAATTTTATAATCAGAAACTGCTGACGTATTCCCAGTTGACTCAAAAGCAAAGATATTCTTTCAAAGTAAAACAAAATGGGTTTTCTATGCAGCTCTGCTTGGAACAAAATATGATATTATGTCATAATCCTTAAATTGTGTAAAAATGATTCTGTAATGAATGCAGAATCAAATACACTGTATAGGCAAAGTGTAGCTGGTCTTGTGGTTGCTTGAACGAACGCCACGTAGTAAGGTCGATTAAGAGGACGCCTACCAAATACTTCTGTTGAGATTTGTAACAAATGATCGAATCTCACAAAAATTATTAAAGATCTTGAGAAAATGCTTACAAAAAACAATCATTGTGGAGAATTTAAGTAACTGCTTCACAGAAAACATGTTGTTTAATTATATCGAAGTAATCAAGGAATGAAATTTTAACACTGTACATTACCGTAACTCGAGGAAAATTCAATAACGTCTTCAGATTTATGACATAAAAAATATGGTGGAATTTGCTGTGTGGTACGTTTGTAAACACGATGGCTAAACATTCAAGATGCTAGCTGAGGTGTAGCTAATGGCAGTAACTATATCCATCTAATTACAAATTGCTTAAAACCTCTGACTAAAAATGTGCAGCTCCCTTTTGAACCTAATTCTCGACGCAGATTTTTATTTCGTGTTCTGTTCTTGAAGGTCGGAACTAACATCATCTCCATAAAGAATGTTTTTTGGCAAAAATGTATTTAAAAGACTTCTTTATCTGTAAACTCGTGCATTTTAAACTTGCAAGCTCTTTGACATGTGGAAGGTGGAAAGGCCTGCTGTAATCGTGGTCCCGCTCAGGAAGCAGCTAGGTTTATGATTTGTGCATGTTCTTGGACCTGAAGTGTCCCTGTACCTTGGAGACAGAACACCTCAAAAATAGTAGGTGTAAGAGGAGTTTTTTATTTACACGCTAAACATTTACACATGAAGCTTAGTACCATTGAAAAAAGTAGCAAGATACATGTTTACTGAAGGCTGATAGCTGATTTTTTTTCCCCTTTAGTATTACAATTACCCATCAGGATCGCAGAAGGAATACACTAATGATACTTTAGTTTGACCTATTTTGTCCGGAGAGTCTCACTTAAAAGCTATTGGAATACATTGCGGAATAGTCTGCTTCCACTGCAAAAACAGTAGTTTTTGTTTTGTTTTGTAACGGGCAGGGCAGACAATATTTCTTGGGCCTTATTCCTGTTTAGGAGGATTCCTTAGACCATCCTAC